AAGGTGACCAGGGTGTGTAATACCATCCCTGTAGAATAGCTGGTTATTGCATCCAAGCTCGATGCAAGAGCATTGAACATGGTTTGAGCCAAAGTGTATTGATTGACTCATGATCCCTACAAAACCCAATTAAAAAATAGGGAGGCCAGATCAGTTTCAAATAAGTCAAGAATCTTCAATGAGGCTGATTTGAACAAAAGTAAACAAACCTGTGTCCTTCGAAAAACACTGAATTGAAGAACAGTACTTGAAGAATCTAAAATTAGATGGCTGATTTTTGTATATTTTGTTGAAGATCGCAAATCTGTACATGTTGAGTTGACAAAAGATAGATGTCAACAATCAGACCCAATTGATCTGATTTCATCAAGCATGAGAACAACATACATTACCACGAGATAGACAAGAACCAAGCCAATGAGGTCAATACCCAAACCGCTCCGCTCGAAATAGCTGTTTCGGAGCGGTTTCGGAGCGGTTTTGGGCCCCGCTATGTCCTGCGCAGTCTATAGCGGGGCCTGCGCACCGAACTCAAAACCCTGGTTTTTACATAGCGAAAAACCGCAGCGAAATGCCCCGGGGCTTCGGGTTCTCTGCTACAAGTGCCGAATTGGAACCTTGAGGTGGGTAGAGGGCAGTCAACTGTAGTTACCCCACCCCTTTACTAGATCAGCGCCTCACGCCATCCAGTCCACCATCACCTCTTTTGATCCTAGATCAACACCTCCACCACCGATGGAACACGACCCCTGGAATACTGTTCGAGGGCCAATATGTGGTCCGTCTGAGCGCCGAATTTTAGGATATTTGAAACTTATTGGTTGGTCAGTAACAATCTCCCTTCCCAAATCATCAATTGAATAATCAATACTTACTTTTATCATCTTGCTATTCATTTAAAAACCTTTATAACCTTTCCTTTCATTGTTTTTCACAATCTTATCAATGGCCATCTCAAATACCCCATCTACCCAATCCTCTTCCAAAAGTTCCAATCTTCGAGTTCGCGGTTTACCCAGTTCTAGAACTCTTAGAACACCAAGTCCTGCCCGATCCCAGCCAGGATTTGTGGCGACCCCAAAGGATTCACGTACGACTCTGACCATTCCTTCGGACGGCGAACAACCCGGTTCTCTTTCTGATCGGCTTGCATCACCTCGCCCGCCAGTTCTTACAACAAAGAAGAAGACCAGTGTTCCAGTTTCCACCAAACCGAATGGAAAAAGAAAGGTGAGTCTCATTTCTCGGACTTTAAGCTCATACATCAAACTAATCTATATTTGTAGACTCGCTCTTCCACTAGCAAACGAGTCAGATCACCGACACCCAGTTCGAAGGCTGGCTCACCCTCACCTTGACCCAAGAAGAAGGCCATCACAGATGTAAGCCCACTTTTCCTATTTCTCACTTTTCCTAATTCAATGTCTCTATAACTTACAGACGAACTGAACCTTTTTCATATGTGTAGGCATATGAGGTACCTGGCGATGTCAACTTGGATCAAGATTCCGATGTTGAGTTCATTGGGACCAATCAACCTGGCTACATGGAAGTTCAAAGTGATCGGGTGCAAGACCTACTTAAGTTCTTCGAGCCTCCTGTGGTAAGTTTCTTTCTCATTTCTACCTTTTTCTGTCCTTTACTTTCTTCTCATCGTGCTGATGTCTTCTTTTTGGTTCAATTATAGGGTCGTAGTTACAAGTGCCGGTGGTGCAAGAACACGTTCTTGCGTCACCCAACTTCCTACTGGAACTTATGGGGGCACCGCAACGGAAATGAGACTCGTCCTGTGTGTAAGATGCGCCATAAAGCGATCAAGGCAGGTTTGATACTCCCACCAGTTTATGAAGATCAGATCGCGGCAGAGAAGAAGAAGAACACCTTGGATTCATTCGTCAAAGGACCGGTCTTTTCAGTTGACTTGTTGAATATGATTCTCGTAATCTGGATCGTTCGACATGCGCTACCTTGGATTCGTTTTCAAGACCCGGCTCTTTGTGCGGCCTTCTATTGTGTCAATTGTGGTGCAGTGGTTTGATCAACTGCTTGGGCCACAAAACAGTCTGTCCATCTTTTTGCAGCCCTGCACAACAAGGCGATCAACAACTTGAAGGTAAGTACAATTGTGACTATCATCACAGTATAGATGTACTTCAACTGATCAAATCTTTGAATTTTAACAGGAAAACAAAGGTAAGTTTTGTTTAATACATGATGTTTGGACCACCAAAGGCAATTGGTATGCCTTTGTTGGTGCCTCAGCAAACTATATCGACAACAATTGGGAATATCGATCGAGCCATCTCACCCTCAAGATGGTGGGATGGCGACATTTTGGTGCTCTGCTCGCCAGACCCATTGGGCGATTTTTGATTCGCCATGGACTTCATAAAAAGATGAGTCGATCTTTTTCAATTCTTTTATTTCTCTTTCATTATCTCATGTATTTAGGGTTTGCTTACCTCTTTGTATTGTACTTAAATCTTAGCTCAGACTACCAATAGCGGAGGGAACAACTCGACAACGGCCTCCAAGCTCCAACGAATGTTCTCTGAAGCTGAAGAATCCGTCCATTGGTCTAGCCGAACTCATCACGTACGGTGTTATGCGCATAAGCTCAACCTTGTTGTTGGGCACGGTCTCAAAGTACTTGGTCAGAAGACCGGTAATGCGAAGCCTTCTATCCCGCACGGCGTTGCTCTTCCTATACCCGGGCTGGAGATCAACGATGGTGAGGACTCCCTTGAGTTTCATGCTTCTGATACAGATTCCGAGGACAAGGACAGCTTACCCGAAATAGCAGATGGTGTTGACAAAGAAGATGTTGTTCAAGACAAAGACGAAGAGTTACCTTGTGACCAAGATGATGTAGTTGCAGCTGCGCTTCAAAAGGTAAGTGTTCTTCTCACAACCTGAAGAATCATTTAGTAATCTAAATGATTTTGTCGTTTGTACAGGTTGACGCTGTCTCTGGACAGATCGCAAGTAGTGCAGCCCGACGCAATGATTTTAAGACCCGTGCGACTCGTATGGGATATACCGGTCGAATGTTGAAGAGGCCTTGCAAGACCCGATGGAACAGCCACTATGAAAGCCAAAAGATAGCTTGTGAGGCACAGGAGGTTAATAATTTTTGCTCTGACATTTCCATTGGTTTTTTTAATTCTAATCACACACTCTCTCTTGTTCCTGACAGGTCATCAATTCAATGATTGCAGCCGATAGAAAGGCTTGTTTTTTTAAGGGTGTCACAATTTCCGCTTCAGAATGGCATGCGGTTGAGATGGCGAACAAAGTTTTAAAGGCTAGTGTTTCTATTCTTATATCTCATTAATATCTTTGTATTATCAAGTTACTGATATTACTGTTTCTATTGTGTAGACTTTTGTCGATGCCACAGCTCGAGTAGAAGGAAATGGGCCTACTGGCTGCATCCTCTTGGCTGAATACAAGCGGGTAATCAAAGAACTCCTCAAAATTCAAGCTGAAGCTTTCATTTTCCCAACCCTTGACAAGGCCATTGATGTAATGGTCAAATGGTTGACCAAGTACCAAGATGAGGCTGCCAACTGTGATGCAATCATCCTGGCAACAATTGTCAACCCTCGCTTTCGAGTGAAATTCTTCAACCTTCACTATCCTGAACATGAAAACTCGTCACAGGTTCTTATTGAGAATGCTTTCAGCTCTGTTGTTGATGAGATGAAGATTGACGAGCCAACCCCACCACCCGAAGATATTAACGACTCTACCGAGGCCGACGAATTTGATGTGTTTGGAAATTCTGACACCGGTCCAAGTAAACATTCGACTACAGAGCTGGAAGATTATTTGGCAGGTAAATTCCCAATCAGAAAAGATCAAACTCCTCTTCAATGGTGGAAGGTTTGTCCATTCCTATCATTTCTTCTCATCCTTTCTGATTTGGCTAACCTACCATTTATAGGAACATGAAAACCGTTTCCCAATCCTTTTGTCAATTGCACGCGACTACTTAGCGATTTCAGCCACATCATGTGCATGTGAGCGGACCTTTTCAGCCACTGCCGACGTATGTACACCTTCAAGAGGTAGTATGCTACCGAAGACAATGGAGCGACTTGTTGGATCTCAAGCCTGGTTGAAGGAGGGCATTGTCCCTGATGGTTTGTTTGAAGAAGCGGCCCAAGCACTTCTAGCCTATATGAAAGCATCGGTCAAGAAGCCCCAATAGGATTATTGCTCTACCTTTATCAACTGAGGATTGTTCCTCTTATACTTGTTTTCTTGCTTACTCGAGTCTGAACTCTTGTTTTCTTACACTCATATACATGTTTGAGAAAAGTTTTTTTTTCTATCTACTCTCCTACGTGACTCTAGCCTTATAGCCTTGGTCTCGTACACTTAAATTTGAAATACAGGCAGTTTTCTTTTCTCCTACGTCATCGATATCCTTGCGCTATATAGCGCAAGGATATCGATTTGTCCGCTCCGCTAAACAGTGAGGTTTTTTCCTCCTTGAATAGCGATATCAGAGCGGAGCAGTCAATAGCGACCACTCCGCACCGCCATGAAATTCAGTGAAATTTCATAGCGTTTCGGAGCGGTTCGGGTATTGATGAGGTCATAGATCACAGTAGAGTACTGGATGACTTGAGAGCACCAAATATGATGCCTGGAAGAATTCAAACTTCAAGAAGAATTTCAAAAACACCAAGCAAAACAAATGAAAAGTTGAATGCTCAGATACCTACGAACCCCCTGTAGCCGGTTCTCATCGGGTGGTGACCCCCGGTTGAGGACTGGTTTCCTTATTGGTGGTGACCATCGTTGATAACACGTGTCCGTCTTACGGTGTTGTAAACGGTTTTTTTAAAACTGGTAACTACACCGGTTATCACTAGTTCCAAACTAGTTGAAGCCTCTAACCATACTCACTGAGAAAGAGACAATAGGCCCATTTTATTGACTCAATTCAATGTCTTGATTCATACTCACTTATTGTAAAAGCACAGGACAAACATAGGATTCAACACAAGTTAATTGCTACATTCAGAACAACTCAATTACTGGACTGAAAATGATTAAGAATACCAAAATGAAACACTGATAAGATGAAGATTATAAATGAAAATGATTGAAACAAACAACTCAAAACTAGGGATAACAAAGATGGGGAAAAAAACTACATCACAGAAATGAAACATTTATAAGAGAGAAAATTAGAGATGGAAATGAACAAAACAGAGAAGATACACACACACAAATTATTAACAAAACCAAATTGAAAAGAAGATGAAGAACATTAAAGGAAAGAAAAAGATTTTAAATGAAGAGGAGAACTTGAAAGAAGATTCATCAGGTTCTTCTTCAGTTAGATTAAGAGGTCAACCAATTTCATTACCACTTACTAATCCAAATCAAGCATCTCACTCTAATCCTTCGAAGACACCAAGAATCTCATCAAGTTCAAAAAGAGCAGAAGAACTAAGAGAAGAAGAAGAACTAAGAAAGAGATCGATGAGCAGTGAATCAAGTCACTCATCGACTTATTCAAATCATGAAAATATAAATGAATAATTCATAACCCCCAAGATTGTTACTGATGCGAAAGTGGGAGGGAGAGTATGTTCAATTTCATGATCTGAACCTGAATCAAATGGTAAGATATCAAGAGGTTTGGACGAGGCTAGAGGGACATCTTCGGTCTCATGCTCAAAGCTTGTGTCAGATCGAGATGGGTTTTGTTCAAATTGAGGTGGCTGTGAGACCGGAGGAGGTGAAGCAGCTTGAGGTAAGATGAAGTAAAAGATTTGTTCTGCAATCTGAATTTTAATCCTATTTGATAGATCAAAAGATGAGTGATGATGACCAAGAAGAAGAAGAGGAAGAGAAAGGTTTAAACCAACCTAAGACCGAGTGTAAGGACCTCACCCTTTGCTCTCCAATGTCCATCTACCACACAACCATTTTGACCACCCACCAGGGAGTCCAACGTCCATGAGCCCAATCAGAATAGATTCTAGCATGACGACGAGAGACAGCTCTGATTGGGCCCAAATCCATATCGATCGGTTCATCTTCATCTTGATCATCTTGCGTAAGATTCGACTTTAGCATAAGCTTGTACTCGTCCATCATCAGATTCTGATTCAGTAGGTGTAGTTAGCTATTTGATGAGAAAGAATATTCAGCTTTGTGGCCTTCTCTTGACCTGACAAAGATAGTAACTGAGGTTCAGGTGAATCGCGATGTTGTTCAAGTATAGGTAAGAGTCATTCAAATTTGACGAAAAGCGAAATACACCTAAGCATCTCTGTTGGGAGATACCAGAGAAGTAAAGTCAGTATCATGTGATGAGGATGTAAGTGTGAGGGTGAGAAAGGGGAATGAAAAGATGATGAAGGATTGAATGGTTGATGATGATGATGAATAGAAGGTTGAATTGCAGGTCTTGATGCTTGGATTTTAGATCGGATGAAGACGGTGATGGTGATGGTGATGAGAATGAATTACACCACGGAGTGGTCCGGCCCATCTGCAGACTGGGACGGAGGCCGTCTGCAGACGGGCCTTTTTTTATATAGTCACAGACCGTCTGCAGGTAGGCGCTGGTCCCACCGTATGCAGACGGCCTTTCAAATACCACCTGCAGCCTGCCTGCGAGTCGACTGCAGACGAGATGCAGAGGGTCAATCACTGGTCTGGGTCCTGGGTTCTGCTCCACACCAATTCTCAATAATAGACCAGTGAGACAACTGCTAGCCTTGAAATTTGGCTAGCAGGCAGCTAATTCAAAGAATCAAAATAATATCTATTTATCAATGCATTAAAGATTTTCTCAGACATAGGAAGTTGATAACAATGAGTATATCATAAGAAAATACAAGTTTTTTTCTATTGAAACTAAATAAATGTGTTGAATCATAACTTGAACATCAATCTTTGGTTGAAAAAAGAGAACAATCAGGGTTTTGATTCTGCTTCAAAAATTTCCAGTTAAAATATAATTTTCTAATCGATTCTTTGTGGGTTTGATTTGTAGTCGATTTAATATCAATAGATTGGAGAAATGAATCTATCATTGTAGAAATGGTATCAATTTCTGTTACTGATTGAGTTCCACCAGCTCTGGTTATAATTGTTCAAAAAAATAACAAAGTCAGTGATTTGAACCAGTTTTCCTCGATTTAATGAAAAGCAATTGACCACTTTTTAAGATCACCTGATTCTTAATTTATGATGTATCATCATCATTATCATTGATTGAATGAGATTTCAACGAGAGCGTTATGATTTTCGGTCGAATAGATTGAATTTGAGGTTATCGTTACCCATGAAGGTCAATGAGACAGATACAAAATCTGATTTAATCGGCACACTTACCTCATTAAGCTCAAAGATTACTAATCGATCACCTTTATCACCTGTAGCGAGATAATTCCTTGTGTGATCGACATCAACAGTTGAGATGATATCCACGATCAATATCAACAGCTGAGATGATATCTGATTTGATGATATCTTCGACTTCCGTTTTCTCGGCTTTATGATTGAATAGATTGGTAATTAGCAAGATCGATCAAGAGTAGATGATCAAAAAGCATTCAGGATAAGATTGAAAGACAAACCAAAAAAATGAGCAAATCTCCAACCAGATGAGTAACTATCTAAATCTGTTCCCGGAGCTGTAGCTATTGATGAAAAAGAAGATATCAAAGTAGTGATGATAAGAAAAAAGATGATGAATATCAGTCAAAAGCATGTTTTGTCAAAAGTCTGAATGATTGTGAGATCTCAAAGGGATGTTTTCAGATGATAAGTTTTCTTGAATGATTTGAATGAAGTTGGGATTTGATTTGTTTGATGAGATTGTTTTGATTTGATTTGATGATGATGATATAGTTATATGAAGTTGATGATGATGAGTTGAGATGGATTCGATGAAGTTGAAGTTATTGAGAATGGTTTTGAGGAATTGATCGGTGGTTGTTTGGTTTGTTGAGTGATGTCATGATTTCAAGTTGAGGTTAAGTTCGGTTAAAGCTTTCTTAAATTTGACCTTATGAAAAAATTTATTAAAAGGAAGAATAGTCTGGCAGACGTCTGACAGGCGCCTGCCAGCCTTTTTTCAGACTTGATCACGCACACCGGCTGCAGTCCGACTACGTACGGTACTCAATCGGATCGCAGCCGGTATGTAGCCTGCTCTCACCAACCATTTTCAGGCCTGTGAAAGGCCACTTTCAGGCCATTTCCCGGCCATTTCACGACCCCGACGACGCTCAGACCTCACCGACGCTTTTTCTGCTCAAGAACCACTCCGTGGTGTACATGTTTGTGGTGGTATTAAAGGCGTAAGATCGTTTTGAAATTAGCTGATGATTTTTTGACCTAAATTTTTGATTTCATTTTGATTAAAGTCTTCAAAGTCTTTTGATCCTTCAACCAGTGAGGACAAGTTAAGCATCCGGCAATTGATCAACCACAGGAAACTCGGATGTGGTGTTCATGGTATTTAACGTGGTGTTTCGAATAGCGGTTTGTTGACTGCTGGGACACTCGTTGAACAACCATCACCCAATCTACCTCGCAGAAAACGGACCACAGTCCGACAATCCGCCAGCACACCATTGGGTTGTCAGCGGGTGAAACTCAAAACCCCCTGGTGCCGGTTTTTCAACGAAAAGAGGGTTCGTGGTGTACACACAGATGGAAAATAGTCAAGTTTATCTTGGCCAGTACTCATGAGATGTAGATACAGAGCTGTTGAGTTGAAAAGGGTTTCGAAATCTTTTGAAACATCAAATCATGGGCCAAAGTGATCAGATAATGCAAGATCTGAAGACTGAGACCCACTCTCCACCCAAATTGACCAAAGGGTTAAGATTCCAACCCTTCTGTTGCCGAGCTTACCAAACAATGACAAAGCTGGTTCTCACGTGAGAGGTTGCAATGAAAGTTGCAGAGATGGTCCTATGCTTATTGTAGATGTTCACAACAAATGATGTCCTTAGACAAATTACTCATGCTAGATCATTTCCTGCAGCAGGAGAGACACACTCAACCAAACCATTGACACTAGATTTATGCAGAGAAGCAACAAGAAGTAAAATATATACATATAGAAAAATTTATACAAGAAAAATTTATAAACAAGAGATATTATATATAAGCCCTCAACAAACATGTATTATCAGGAATTCAGATTCAAGGAAGAGCCCATCAGAGAAAAGAGAATGTATAAGTAAAAAACTAGATATCCAAAATATAGAAAACACTCAATAGATCAGAAAAATGAATGTGGATAGAGAAATGAGTGACTTATTGACCATTGGAAGACAAAAAACTTCCAATGAAACAAAGCTATCAAAGAACATATGTACAAGAAAAATTAAAAGTGCCCAACCACAAAAAGTGATTGTATTATTGGGATGTGGAAGAAGAAGCAAGCTCTTTGGTTAACTTCTCAATTGATCTAAGTATGTCAACCTTATTAGTTGTTGCTAACTTCAAGTTCCTGACCGCAACTCCTGACATTGAAGCTATCCAAGTTGGCAAAACAAGTGAGCGTTGAAACAACTGCGGCGGAAATATATCAAAATCGGGTGTCGTGTTGTAAGGACCATGCTCCACTAGATGGTGTGCTGAACGGCGAGCTGAAGCAACAGTTTCACGAGCCCAGACGCACTGGTCAATCAAGCTGATCAATGTGTCGAGTTTGGCACTCCTCCAGCTGCATCGGACCTTGCTGGGAGTGGAGCTGCTCAGTTTGTCTTCAGAATGAATATCACGTTGAGATATAATTTCTGCTTCTCCAGAGTCAGCACCAAATATAGCAACTGCCACTGATTTTTGAGCATCATAGATCTGGGGTGGATTGTCATATTGGTGATTAGTTTACCATAATAAGTGAAGTAGGTATGATAAAATTACTTACAGCCTTTTTGGTTTGTGGACGACTGATGAGTTTCTTTGAATAAGCTGTGTCAGCTGCAACCTTCTCTCGACCAGCAGGTGTCTTCATTAAGACCTTGCGTTTTGTTTGTCTTCAATATTCAGCCTTCTTGTTTGTAAACCACCGCCGTAGGAGCTCTTCACGGTTCCCAGCTTTGTTGTCAGAAGCTAAAACAGAGAAAGAACAGGCTCCACGTGCGTCAAAACACTTGACCCACTGGTCGAGGATAATTGTTGACATTGACAAATTCCAGGTAGACTCGTATCCAGCTTCTCAGTCAAATGTACAGCAAGGGAGTCCAGACATGGCCAAAGAAGCCTCACATTTGGTTCCCCAGCTATGCGGATATCGGCTGGAAGACAAAAAATCAAGTCAAGAAGTGAAAGCTACCATTGATGATTTGAATTTTGAGCGTGTACGTTCTGCCGTGTCTTGCTTGACAGTCCTTTTTTGTTTTCTATTGGGCCTAAAGACAGGTGGCTTACTTGCAATATATTTGTGCATGGCCTTTTTGATCACAGATTTGATGAGCTCTTCTCAATCTGCTCGACAAGTGATCCATGTGTTCATCTCAGTTTGACTAGGAGGTGGTGGAAGTGTTGGATCAGAGTTTTTGTTGGAACCTATTGATTGTGACTTCCTTGAGATTCCCATTAGCATTTGTACATATTCATGAATTTCTTGAGAAATCTGTGATGCCGCGTTTGGGATGTCAGGTGCATCAGCAAGGTCGGCCATCATTGCATCACGACGGCGAGATTTGGTTTCTTCTCTACTGCGAGCAGCTTTCTTCCGTTGACGACTCTTGGATTCTTCAAATGTAAGTTCACCATCTATGTGACAGGTTTAGATAGAAGCACACACATTTAGATCTGAAGTCGTGGAACAAATCTGATGAGAAAGGGAAATGTCAACACACCCGAGTCATCATCACTACCATTGCGGGATTCAGTATCAGAGCCTGAATTTTGATCTGAAAGAGACAATCATCAATCGGTATGCATACTTAGCTATCTGAGCCAGATACAGTTGAACGCACCATTGTCCTTGTAATTGGTTTGTCTCTTTTCGTTGTTCTGGCCAGATTGAGTAGATTGAGTTGGTCCAGTTTGAGTCTGCGTGGGTTTGGCCTCCATGTTTGAGGAATGGATTGGTTCTGTTTTGACAAAAAGAATATTTAGCAAAGAAAACACCGCGTGCCTGAATAGAACAATTGAAGTAAAATCCACTTGCGGAATTGATAGAGGATATTGTAAAAGTCAAGAAATACAATCCAATTTTAAGATTTATTTCAGATTGAGAATGGACCTTCCTTTGAAAAAATAAAAAATAAAAACTACAGATTGAAGTCAGTAGTATTGAAGAATATTCAATGAACCTTTTGGATAACAACGCACAAGATCAAGATACATATACAAAATGTGATCAATAGAGTTTGAGTGAATTCGAGTGATGATTGCAATCAAAGGACAAGCAGGAAGCTCAGCTGTCCACCACACTTTTACAAAATAGAAGCAGACTCAGATTGAGGACAATGTATGTACAGATCCACCTTGTTGGTTGGAGGAGGGTTTACCCCTTTATTGATCTCTTATGTATTTGGCAGATGGTCCATTTGGGTATGTGTGAATGACCTGGCGAGTTACAAAGAAATCAAAACAGAAACCAGCAATCGAAGGGAGCGGGAAAGTAGTGGATTTTAAAATCATGACCAAAGGAACAAGACTTTCATAGATGGGGAGGTGTTTCAGAGGTGTTTAAGAGGACATTTGTGAGATCACCGTGTGTGCTCGACGGTGATTCCTTCTGAAATGGGCATGGTGGATGGTTTTTGAAGGAAAGTGGTGGACAATGGATTCTGAGAGGTTCTGTGTACATTGATTGGGGACATAGGATTGATTTGAGGGTTTCCGTACGGTGGAAAGTACCTTGTAGAGATGTTGAGACAGTTGATTGGAAGGAAAGGTTGAGAAAAAAATCCACAGAATGTGATTTCCAGGAGGGAAAATGTGATATTATCAAATTCTTGGAAAGTAATGAAAAAAGGCTTTTTATAAGCATTCTGTGATTTACAGAATGCTTGTAAATAAGAAATCAAACACATTTCACAGAATGTGATTTCCCAACCTTCAAGAATGTGAATTTTTACAAAAAAGCGCTTACATGAACACGGCCTAAGGGTGCATTTACTCACACAATTTCTGGTGAGAAAGAACATTCTGTCAACTTTTTAATGCAAAAATGAAACATGCACCACCTAATAGACACTTTAAATTTTGCAGAATGTGATTTTTCACCAGAAATTGCTCAAGTGAACACACCCTAAGTGTTAAGTACCTAATACTCAAATCATCAATTGAACACCAACAGATTGCTGATATTTTGTTTAATTGAACATCATTTGGTGAATCCAATCACAACATACCTTGAGATTTTTACAATTCACTTATTTTTACAAAAATCTTACTTAATTGAGAAGGAGAGAAAGATACACATAAAAAACCAAAAAAAACCACAGGAAGTTTTAAGAAAAAATCTTAATTGGTTTTCTTATCTTCCTTTGGTACCTTGATCATATAAGGTACTAGATTTGCATTTAATTTTCTGAACATCATAGCAATTAGATTAGATGGTAAATCTCTTCCTCCCCTTAAACCAAAAGAATCAAAACATCAAAAAAAGATCTCAAGACTTGGTTATTGCTCTAAAATGAGAGATTTTTTGGGGGGCTTACCAACGGTCTTCAAATTTAATGATCTTTCCATCTTCCCCTAATTCTACACGTACAACAGATTCCATCTTTTTCACATAATTTATACCTCTGATAGTATACTCTTGAGTCTGCAATTTTGAAGAATACCCAACCCCCCCCCAAAAAACCCAATTAATCAAAGTGTTTCAAAACTTTTTTCAAGTGAGTGATATGGGATTTTTTTATGACAAACTTACTTGTTCCCATTCAATTAGC